TTCTCAAACTGCTCCCAAATTCACTGCTCCTCAGATTCACTCAGACTGCTATGCTCTCCTCAGAGTGGCTAGAGACTAACTCTCAGACTTAATGCCTACCTTTTATACCTCTCAAATCCTGGCATTAAAGGTGTGAGCTCTGATTCACTCTCCAGTAGCCCAGGATGGTCTTGGACTCAGAGATCCATCTGTCTCTTAATTCTGAGTCCTGGGAGTAAAGGTGTGTACCACCACCACCTGATCTCTAAAGCTTGAGGCTGGCATTGCTTTCTGAGTCCTCAGGCAAGCTTTAATAAATCATAAATAATTTATCACCACAGCACTAAGCCCAAAGCTCTCTGGAACTGGTAGTCTTAAATAAGAGCTTTCACCTGACACCCAAGCGATACAGGAACAGAAAGCAGAGCAGGCTGTAGACGTTGCACCTATAAGATTGTGTGGTGCAGAGCAAAGGAGATGAGGCGTAGGAGGCTGCACTGACGACAGCCCTGATTTAGTTAAAGCCCACCTGGCCCTCTGGGAAGAGCCTGGAACAGAGTAATAGTTTCCCTTTCAATGCTGAAGAACTAGTATCTTGTACCCAAGAAGGAAAAAAGTTGAACCAATACTCAGGGAGTGACTGAGAGTTTGTTGATCTTGTAGGACCTCAGAATGGCCATGGCCAAGAATTATCATCACTATATGAACGATAACCCTAGGCCATCTGTCACTCATGATGAATCCATTGCTTCCTCTCTTATCTCTCAGCCCCTCAAAGTTTTTTATTTGTACTTGCTCAGTGAATGTATTTCAAGGACAATGTCTTTCCTACTGGAGTTTCATCCCTAACAAGGATCTTTTATGTGGGATTTCAAGTGCCTTTGGAGAATTCCAAAGCAAAGAACAAAAATTATTTTCAGTGTGCCTGTCTGTATGTATGTCTCTCTGTGTGCGTATGTGTTTTATTATTGCCTTTAAAATTATTTCTTGAGATATTTTTTCTTGTTATACAGCTCAGGCTGGCATCAAACTCACAATCCTCCTGCCTCAGTTTCACAAGTACTAGGATTGCAGGTGTTTACTACCACACACACCTAACTCACGATGCTTAATTGAGTACGCTGTATGGTATTATTGAAATCTATGCCACTAATTTGCACATAGGAAGCACAGAACTCCTTGGTATATGGTTTGATGACATACCACATCCATTTTCATTTCTTATCCTTGTTTTTCTTTTTTTTCAGATTTTTTATTTGAATTAGAAACAAGATTGTTTTACATGCCAATCCCAGTTCCCTCTCCCTCCCGCTCTCTCCTACCACCACCCCAAACTAAAACCCTACCTATCACATATCCTTTCTTCTATTCTTCCCCTGACTCAACCTTTCTGCTCCCTCATTATCTCTGCATCTTAACCTTGTTTTTCGTGGAACTAAATTAAACATACTTTTCCATTAGGATTGTGTGTGTGTATTTGTTTACATTGATACCAGCTTAAGTGGCACAGTGTTGTAGAAAATAAAATACAATAAAGTTTTCCTGGATTGCTCAATGTGAAAACACACCCAATGTAGCAATTTTTGTGCCAATGAACAACGAAAGTAAGATTATCATACATACAGAGTATTTTTTGAAACAAGGTCTCAGGTTGTTTTTTTTTTTTTAAATATGATTTCAAGAATTTTTTGAGACTAGGTCTCAAGTAACCCAGGCTAGTCTCAAACTCACTGTGTAGCCAAGTATGACCCTGAACACCAGTTTCTTCTGCCTCTGCCTCCAAAAAGCTGAAATCATAGGCGTGCATCACTACTCCAGGCTTTATGCATATTCATTTTTAAAAATACCTCAGATGATTTGGAACTTATTTGAGAATATTTGCTTTACTAAGACTGTGATTTTATTACTTCTGGGGTTTGCCTTAGAGCATCTGAATCCAGATGCCTTTCTGATTGCCAAGAGCCTCATACATTCTATGTGAACGTGGTGGAGCCATGTGCTCTAGAAATGATCAGACTTGTTTGTGGCTTAGTGCTATGAGAGAAAATACGCTCATCTATCCCCTCACAAATACTTTTGAGTGCTGCTCTAGGAGCTGGGGATGTGGTGTTGAACTAAACAAGGAAACTCTGTGCAATAGAGAAGAGGGAAACAAAGATTAAAGAGGAGAAAATTACATTACCCGTTAAAAGAAAATTAAATGTTACAGAAGCATAATAAATTAACGTATAAGGGACAAGGTGTGCTGAAGGAGCAAGCTAGAAGGGGGAAGAGCAACTTGAAATTAGAATAGGTCCAAGGAAAGGTAGCATCTAAGCAGACACTTAAAGGGGGAAAGAGAGTGAGACCTGAGAATATCTCCAGAAGAGCCAGGGTTAGCATATGCAAATGCCTGAGGTGACATCCAGGAACAGTAAAATACACCTAATGAGGAATAACAAAAATAGCACTGAAAGAGTGGTGAGGGGCAGGTTGTTCAGGGCCCTGAAGCAATCCTGGGCTGTCAACCTAGACTCTGAGCTAAACTAATGGAAACTTTAAACAAAACCATGGTACAATTTAGCTTTTAGGGTTTGGAATGATGCCCAGTAGATGAAAGCCCTTGTGAAATCATGAGGACCTGAGTTTGGATCTCCAGGAGCCATGGCTGTATCAGCATCAGCATCTGCAATCCCAACACTCCTATAGGGAGAAGCAGAGACAGGATGATCCCCAGAAGCTCACATGACCTGACATGTGCTACAGAAAAACAGCAAATAAACCCTGTCTCAAACAAGATGGAATATGGACCAACATCCAAAGCTGTTCTCTGACCTTCACACAGGCATAGTGGCAGACGCAGACTCACATTGATACACACAACTGGGTGTGAACACACACATACACATATATATCAAGCATTTAGAAAGACCGCTATAAGCATTATTTGTAATAACCAGAACCTGGAAGCATCCTAGATGCCCCTCAACTGAAGAATGGATAGAGAAAATGTACGTTTACACAATGGAATACTACTCAGAGGGGAAAAAAATGGAATCTTGAAATTCTCAGGCAAATGGATGGAACTAGA